GACGGGGCACGGGAGCCGCAGCCTGCGCGGGTTTGGGGAGCTCAGGTCTCGGGAACCGTAACCACTGGCAGCCCCGCGCTCCCCGAGGTGCCCGGGGATGAGCTGTGTGTTAATGGTGGTTGTAATTCTGGTGTCTCACGGGGGGAGGGAAATTCCGCTGTGCTTCAACCTTTGGGAAGGGGAATTTACATCCCTTGAAGGGGCAGGTGGCAAGGAAAAGCCAAGTAAAACCCGCATGTTAATATATAATTAATCATTTATTTTCCTCTGAGTCGATAGATGTGAAATTCTGATGTGGTGTCCCTCGGTGCAGGTCAGATCACCTCCTGGCGCCAGCGCAGGGGCCGGGACCCCACTGCTGTCACGTCAGCTGCCAGATGCTGTCAGTTCAAAAGCAGCTCATCAAAACCAACACTACTTGCTGGGGCCAGGCCCCTGTCACACTGACAGTCTGTATCTGTCGAAAGGAGGGCAGGTCTCACACATCACAGAATCACAGAATGGGTTGGGTTGGAAAGGACCTTAAAGCTCACCCAGTTCCAACCCCCTGCCACAGGCAGGGACACCTCCCACTAGAGCAGGTTGCTCCAAGCCCCTGTGTCCAACCTGGCCTTGAACACTGCCAGGGATGGGGCAGCCACAGCTTCTCTTGGCAGCTTGTGCCAGCACCTCAGCACCCTCACAGGGAAGAATTTCTTCCTTATATCTAATCTAGATTTTCCCTAATGAACATACATAATGTATCCTAACAAACATCTCCCAAGGAGGTAACAAGGAGGGTCAAGGCACCCGAGGTGGCACAAAAGTGTTTGTGTTTCCTCACCAAAGTGGATGGATTTGCTGTGTTGTCTCACACTTTCACCCTTTTATCTGCTTCATTGCAGGTGTCAGCAACTGGAATTTTCTGGGTCTTTGGTGCACTAACACACCAGCAACGGGAGGACCCTCTGCTTGACAGAAGGATTTTGTTCATACCTAAAGCTTTTAGTAGGGTGTGATATAATTCCTCTGTTTTCCCTTGTAGCCTGCAGGAAGACACAGGTCTGGGTCTGCCTTGTTTTTCTGCTGTGAGATGCCAGTTGCCTGAGGATGGGGAGCAGGAGAATGATCCCATCAACTGTTCAGCTGTGCTTGGAGTGCAGGATTATGTGCATTTCAGGAGGATATTTTGAATGGACAAGGGGATTGTCATACAGATGTAATGCCTTTTGCGTTACTTCTTCCTTCAGTATTTGAAGCTCAGAGGTTTTCAAAATCTCTTCAAGTATATTTTATTTAACGTTTTGCTGTAATTATCTTTCTGATTGATATTAGGCATAACGTGAAGGCATGATTTTCTCATTCCATAATTGTCAGGGTTCTGAAACAGAAGTGAAACATATCCTGAAACTATCAGAAACACCGATTTTATAGGAATATTTCCATTAAATACTAACAGAAGTGACTCTATCATATTTTCACTTCAAACCCAAATAAGATCATTCTAAAATTACATTTTCTTTCTCACTTCTCCCAGCGTCTGAATACACAAGATTCTTGCAGGCAAATTAGTCAGACCTTAAGTATCCATTTAGAAGCTGAAGAATGCTATTTGCAGATATTTAGTATAAATTATCCCATCCTCTGTTAGATGTAGCCCATCTTGTAGTTTCATAATAAACCTGTCTAACCTTTCATGGATTTTGTTAACAAGGATGAGCAAGCAAATATACACACACATCTGATGAGGTAGTTTACAAAACTTTTGATCAGTCATAGCTAGAACAGTGAAAACAAGCTCATAAGTAAGACAGAAGCAACCTATCCATTTACAAAACAAAAAAAATGATAAGGCAGGTTATAAGATCACATTTCTAAGGAACTACTTTGTATTCATTTTTCTTGCATTCATAAAATTAAAGGAAGTAATATTTTGCTTTTGATTTAATCACTATTATCAGTAACTGCCTTTTCTGGTTCTTGGCCATACTTATGGAAGTCACATAAAGAGGGCAGTGAAGCTATAGTGGAGTACAGATATGGCAAGTTAACCATGAAAAAACATGAAATTAGCTCTCTGTATATAGTTTTGCATAATAAAAACTTCATATTTTTATATCCTTGATTTATTTTCTTCATGCAAGCATACTTCTTACCAGTGTTACTTGCATGTATTCAGTATTTATTAAGTATTCTGAACCCCAGCAAGAACTCAAAATCAAATACAGATTTATAGTCTACATGACTAAGGGGTTGTAACCTTCTCAACAGTGCTGTTTTGTGGGTTTTCTGTCACATAAAGATGGGGGAGCTGAGAGGTTGCATAGCCTTTCCATTACCCATTCTGTCTGCATCTATGCTGACTTCTGTCATGAAAATACACTTTCTTACCAGAATGAATTCCACTAATGATAAATCATTTAAAATGCTCCCACCTCCAAACTCATCTCTGACACAAGATTCTCACATGGGAGTGAGACCTCTTTTTCCTAACATCTGTTAAGCCCTTTCTAGTCAAACTGGTTCATCTGAGAGTAATGCAGTATATTTTAACCTTTTGGTCAGGTCGGTCAGGCAACAAAAGAGTTGGAAGCAGAATCTGAGTTTAAATCCATATATGATGGCATACTGAGAAGTTTCTGTAGCTCAAGCACTTCTTAAAGGTCCTTTTACAGTTATTTACTCATTTATTGCCACCTCAATACTATATTTGTTTGTATTTCCCAGTAGTGATCAATACTTTATTGCCTGCTCTTTCATGATGAAAGCCATGGAGGATCAAGTAGTCCAAGAAGAACTAGGATACCAGGATGATGAGGTAAATTAATGGTTGATTAACAAATATTAGCAGCAAATGTTGTTTGTAGGTACTCTGATAATGTTATGAAATCCAGAGAGACAGGAGGTCCCCAAAGACCATTGGGGAGCTCAATGCATTTATAATCTTCTTCCAGTCTAATACGAAGAAATTTTCCCAGTCCCAGTACAGCCGTGCTCTTCAAGTACCTTTAGCCTTTCAAAAGCTATGAAGAGTTTTTAATGGGATTATCATTAATTCTTTATATTTTCCACTTCTATATAAAATGCAAGAGGACTATCAATTAATTTTATGCTTCCAGTGAATGGTCATCAGTCTGAAAAGACTGAGGAACTATGGCAGAAAAAGATCAAGATGATGATCATAGCACAAGTTCTATTAGCACAGCAGAGGATTGCATGCTTGTGAAGATACACTTTATGAAGAAGGTGATAGGAAATGTGTAGGCCTTCTTGGCTCACTATGGCTTTGCTTATTTGGGTAGTCCAAGAAGCTCTGTATGATTAGGGAAAATCATTGAAATGTTTACAAATTTGTAACAGTCACATAGTGAGATAGATGTAATTACAAGAAAGAGCAAAATCTGGTTTTATTTTTTTCTACTTTTTTTTTTTTTTTTAAGGAATGCTTTTTCCAGGATATTGACCTGCTGCAGAAGCATGGAATTGTAAGTATTAGCAATGACTTTACATTGCCCATGCAAAGTTATTTTAAGGTAGTTTCCAAAAGCGCAAACACATTGATGCAGATGACTGAAATTCCTCCTTGCAATAAATTCTAAATCAGTCATATGAAGACAAATTTTGCCTTTGGTGATAAGACAGGTTTTCAGAAACTCTCATTCCCATCAGATTCCTAAATAAAGTGGCAAGATATTTGAAGTATTTAGCACCCAGCACTCTTGAAAAACCAACTACTTGCTAATTTATTTGAAAACTGTGTGATAGATTACTTCCTGTTCCTGCCAATCTTTGTAATTACTCCTGCATTTTTGGTGCCTGTGAAATTACACTGTGACAATTGTTGCTATACTATTTTCAGTATGCTGGTGAAAGGGGTAGAGTGGGAGTGAGGAAAATATTAGTAGCTAGAGAAAGAAATGGTTAGTTTTCTTCATCAAATATGAATTCCTATCATCATTATCATCATCATCATAATTATTATCATATAAACGTCACCTATTTATCTGAATTACTATTGTTAGATGCCTAGCCAGGACACTGGATCATGGATGGGAACCCTATTACATTCAGTGTTATAGAAACAGAATAAAAAGTTGGGTTTGCCCAAAGTAATATAAGATTTAATTCTAACATAAACAACTACAGACAGATACAGATTGGGGGGACCACAGGCACAATGAGACCGTAACAGTCAGCACTGTAGTTCTGGGCTCAGCATGGCAGCAGTGTAATTGTTGTCAACTTTTCTATTGGAAAGTCATTAACAGTTTTAAAAAGAGTTCTGAATAAGGATCATGAGGGTGAGAGCTCAAACTATGGGGCGACATAGGAAAAATACACAAATACTTGTGTTAAAAATGTATCAGGTTGACCAAAGAGGCCACCCTCTTGAGCTGGAAGGGAGCTGTACTAGCCTGTCAGTATTAGATGCAGGGAACGATACCAAGGTATGGAAGATCTTGAAAACAATAATGACTTAGGCTGTTCTTCTGGCCTAATAAGGGTTTTCTGCTCCTTTTCATTTTATTTTTTCTTCTTTCCAAATGATTATTCCCACACCCCAGAGGAAGTTTTTGTTCACAGCTGTGCCAGTTAAAATCTCTGAACATATGACCCACATCTCTTTCATTCATTTGCTTAAAGAAATAGTTTTTGTGAGTTTAAATTTATTTTTTTTCCCTAGGAGTAGAGAGAGAAATATTTACTACATCTGAGAGTGTGGCCAGAAAGAGAGCCAGATTAGCACCACCGAGACTGTGGTTTGATGTTCCAAAGCATTTGGTAGGAGTTCAGGTGCTGTGAATCTGCAGCCTTTGCTAAGCCATTCTGCCCCTAGAGAATTCTAGTCCTTCTTCTGGCATCTCTGCTTTTGTAGCCACCCTGTGAACTGGATTTGTGAATCAATTTGTCTAAAAATTATCACAACAAAAAATGTGGTTTAGGTTTTTTATTTGTAAATCCTTGGTCTGCCCTTTTCCACCTCAGAGGCCATGACTGGCACAGGGCTGCAACATGAGGTAGAGGATCAGGACAAGCAGCTGGTGCAAGGCATGTCAGTGTGTTAAACCAGAGGACTGCTCAATGTTTTGTAGTTGGTGCACAAGCTGTTGGTGAAAAGGGTATCTGTGCAGGATTGAACAGGGACTTCTACAACCAGGTCTACCACATGGAGGCTTGTAATGCAGAACAGCCTTGAGTCTGCCATGACCAGGAAGACAGAGCCACTGAAGAAATGCAGAAGCAGGATAATGCATTTAAATTTTGGCCTAGAAAAATTATCTTTGCAGCAGTAGTCTGTTTGTCTTAATAGGAAAACACAATAAAGCAGCTCAATCCTTATTATACTGCTGATTGTCATATTCTTTTGGGTGGAAGAGTAATTTTTATTCGTGACTTATTTTAACTCACCCATCCCTATTAATGTAATAATCAAAAACATATCACAGCATGAGAAATAAGCTTCCAAACGAACATGACTAATTTCTTGCATAACCCCCCTCTCTTCTTATGTCCTATGCACCCACACTCTCTAGATAAATAGATGATATATCCAGTTCATGGGGGGGGGGGGTGTTCAAAGAAAAATCTTGGCTGAAAATGGTAAATTGAAGTGTTATCCCACACCTTTCACATAATGTGTTTTCTTGTGAGTAATCTGTTGTTTGCTGTTAAGTTTTCAGTGATGTCAGAATCATCAAATGAGGTGAGAGGAGGCCAAATGTGTCAGTAGGGCACTGACTGAAGTGATGCTGTACCCAATTTATGAAAAACTCTATTAGTCCATTGTAGCCCAGAGTGTCAGTGAGATCTGGAGGATACGTGTGTTTTAAACTGGATGTACTGGGAACGTGCAGAAACAGGACATCAGTTAACGTCAGCTTCCAATAATCCTTGTGACTCAGCTCCCAATTACCCATGAACAGATTATCTAGTTTACAGATTATCTGTGCTAAGGGACCAAGGACAGATTGAGTGTTACTGACTTTACTAGGTTGGGCTCCATGCTACCTGAAATAATCCATATTGGTTCTTTACTGCCAGATTGGATCTAGAAAGATTGACACTGAACGGGGACAAGTAAATACAACTTGACCCAGACACCCTTCTCTCAAAAGCACCAGGGTCTGGTCTCTGCACTGTGATCCCTCACACAAACGTTATTCAAAATTTTCTATTGTTGGTGTCACAAACTACATAAAAAAGAGTTCACTGTAAATCTGCTTCTTCCTTGGTGAAAATACACACGCATATGAATGTATAATAAAATACGTTTCCAAGGTTTACTCTGCCTCCTAGTTGTTAACTGTCCTGAGCACTCACAGAAGGGAACTTTCTTCACAGAACGTAGCAGATATTAAGAAACTGAAGTCAGTTGGGATCTGCACGATCAAAGGAATCCAGATGACCACAAGACGGGCACTGTGCAATGTAAAAGGGCTTTCGGAGGCCAAAGTGGACAAGATTAAAGAAGCTGCAAACAAGCTTATTGTAAGCCAGTCATTTTCCTGATGGTTTAAACTTAAGCTGGCCTCTCAAAAATGCTGGGCAACATTTCTCTGAACAAATTTTTCCACCACATCGTCAAGATAAATGGTGAAAATTATTCTGCTTGTTACTCTAAAGGGATAATACTTTGCACTCTACAACGACCAGACAAATGCTGTCATGCTTTTCATACCCATCCTATGTAAAGGAGGTTAGGGTAGAGAGAAGGTATTTATGTAGGATATTGCACTTTACCTTCAGGTTAAAGCTAAAATAAACTCATGTTCTCTTTGGTCTTCCTTAGGAACCAGGCTTCCTGACTGCCTTTGAGTACAGTGAAAAACGGAAGATGGTATTTCATATTACTACTGGCAGCCAGGAATTTGAGTAAGCTTATCTCCACTTAAATCCTTCCTTAGTCCAAATTGTTCCAATAATCCTATTTATTGTCTTTAATAAGACACGAGAATATAAAGGAATGAATATTCAGTTAGGACATGTAGGTTACCTTGCATTTGGAGCTGCGGCTGGCTCAAAGGTGCCTGCATGAGCAAGCAACAAAACTAAGTCCTTTTCTGAGAGGAAGCTGGACTTTTTACAGTCACTGTATATAAACAGGGTTTGCATCTGGACATCCCGAATGTATCATCATTTTTTCACCTACTCAAAACAATCTTCAGGTCCTGGGTCAAAATTAATTCAAGACCTCCTTTGAGATATTTTTTTCTGGAATGTTATCTTTTCAAAGGTATTTTCTCTCTTCTTTCTTTCCAGTAATAATTTCTATAGATCTTTCTCTTGCACACATAAAAGGAGGCTAAGACAGAGTTAATTCATTATGAATCAGTGATCATTTAGTGCCCTGCAGGAATTAGGGAAGAAGTAAATTTCTTAAAGTAGCAAAACTTTCTGGTTTTGACTTTCTTCTTGTGATTTGTGGGTTTAACTATATCATAATGCTCTCCCTTTCTCCAGTAAACTTCTGGGTGGTGGGATTGAAAGCATGGCAATCACGGAGGCCTTTGGAGGTGAGAAATGAGTATTACGGAACAACGAATTGCAACTTAGTTTAGATTTTAAATTAAGATGGATTACTTCTATCAAATGTACCCTATTGTAGTCATAAAGATGAGCACCCGCATGAGTGTAAGAAGAAAGAACCTGCTTCTCTTAGCGTTTTCTCATTATTCCTCTTCATTTGCTTGCAGGCTAAGTTTGAGTTGAGTACTCATTAGTCTTGGGGCATGCTGATTCAGTAAACTGCAACATTATTAATGCTATTAGTAATGTGTCATATAGAAAAGATTTCCCTGATGCGATCCGTGTTCCTTTCCAGTAACAAAACTGCCACAGAAGGTATTTTATTTATGCATACTTAAGATACATTGCATTTCAAATAAGATTTTGAAATTACAATTAAACTACTATTACAGTAAACTTGATCAGCTAGTGGTAAACACTTCAAAAACAGTAAGAGTTTATAAAACACAGTACTCTTACCCTTAGAAAAGACAAACTGGAGACTTAACATGATTGGATATAATGAGATTAAAAGTTCCGTCCCTGGCAGTGTTCAAGGCTGGGCTGGACAGAGCCATGGGTGACATGGTCTAGTGTGAGGCATCCCTGCCTGTGGCAGGGGGGTTGGAACTAAATGATCTTAAGGTCCTTTCCAACCCAAATCATTCTGTGATTCTATGATCATTGTACTGAAAATGAAACTAGGGCAGGTCAGTGTAATCAACCATTCCTTCACCCCCCTCCCTCAGTTAATGCTTTTCCACACATGCCATGTGGTTTTAACTTCTACACAGAAAAGAATAAATCACTTCAGCAGTCAAGCATGATCAAATTAAAGCAGTTCAGATGCTGCTTCTCATGTTACACACTTCTACTGCACAGAATATAACTTATAAATTGGGGGTAAATGACTGTAAAGGGTAGGGATAGAAGTGAATTTCGTAAATAAGAGTGTTTCTAACTGCAGTAACTCCTGAAAAAGAAACCCTGACCCTTTTTCTTTTTCTTTTTTTTTCGCCTTTTTTTTTCTTTCTTAACAGAGTTCCGGACAGGCAAAACCCAACTATCTCACACCCTTTGTGGTAGGTGTAGTATCTTAAAAGAGAGTGCTGTTCCTGCTCAGTGAATCCATTCTTTACAACTACATCAGAATTAAACATAGAGACAAGTTGGAATCTTTTATCTCTAGAAATACAGTGAAACAGACCCTGGTGACTCTGACCTCCATTAATTGTTTCTGAGTAGAGAACTCACAGACACGATTACTTTTGAATATTGCTCAAGTCAATGTAAGTTTTTCTGTAAGGAGAGAAACTAATAGACTGCACTGTAGAAGCCAGTGAAACAGGCCATATGGAAAAGATGCACAAATAAGGGTTACAGGTGGACAGGGGCATTGCTCAGTAAAGGGCAAAAGCAAGACTCTATCTCAGCAGCTCTTAATTTCCTGGTTTCAAGAGGTTTTGCTGAATGTGACATTCTGAAAGGGCATTAAAAGGATACTCCTGGCTGACAGAAACCAGATAACCAAAATCTCTGGCAGTCACCATATTCGGGCAGTGCCAGGTAGACTCTGATTTCCCAGTGATAGCTCTCAAGGTTTAAACAGTAGTAAATGATAACTAATATAATTATTAATGCCTCTGGAATACAGTTACCAGACATCAGGTAGGAAAACATTCCTTTAAACTAACCCTATATCATACAGGAAATTATGGCACCTTCCGGAAAAATAAGGCCTCTTCTGTCGAGTACAATCTAATAGTCAGTAGAATCATACCCTTCTGCATGAATGATTACAACTGAATCGAGTATTTTAGCTTATTCACTCCAAAGAGACTAAACCCACAACCAGGAACTATTCGCCTACCAGGAAAAGTTCAAATTCAAATAATTTTTGATCATATGAGTTACAGCTGGGGAAAAATCCTACTAAATCAGTATTGTCAATCTGGGCAGAGGATTAAGAAAATGCTTTGAGCGTAAGAACTTATTAATAATATCCTTACCTATTTCCAACATAAAATACACAGATTTAGTGATGGTACTGAGTAAAATACAATTTTGACACCATTAAGTCTTAACTGATCTTCATTTGAGAAAAGGGGCTTGAGTTTCTTCTCAAGATCGCAGTAAGATTTGAGATACTCCTGATTTCCAGGCTGATTAAAACTGGTGATATGGATAAGCAGTTGTATTTTATTAGAAAGTAATAATAAAGGGAGTAAGAAAATATTTTTCCTGCTTTTTCCATTTTATCTTGTATGAATTCACTGTAGTGACAGCTCAGCTTCCAGGACCAAACGGCTACACTGGTGGAAAGATTATCTTCATTGATACTGAAAACACTTTGTATCTTTTGGACTATTAAAAGCTACAGGTAGGATGAACTGGAAAGATAGTTTTTGTTATAAGCAAGTAGGAATCTCCAGATAGCTTCTTAAGTGTAAAACTTTATGGCTGACAGGAGAGAGCCTGGAGAGCACAGTGTGTAGTGACCCACAAGGCAGTAGCTTTTTCTCTGTCATTCAATGGAATCTGACCTGGAAAAATTAGTTAGGATACAGATTCTATATTAACTGGGAGTTTTTTTGAAACCTAATATGCCTTCTACAGGTGATAGAAGCTTTTTTATATACTTCAAGAGAAATTCATCTAAGTACTAAACGCTATTTTTAATACTTCATATCTGTGGTAGACTGCATATAAATAGGTTTTGCTCACAGCTAAATTCTTAGAGCACAGATATCCATATGTCACACACCCCCCTCAAACCCTGAACACAAAACAATTATCATCATGAGACCTAAACTATCTTTAGGTTATGTGGAACAGTGTGAAGTGAAAAAGTCAGTCTTCTCACGGATCAAAATAAATATTCTTTTCTTTTCCCCCATAGTTCTATTTTGGAATGGAGTTTTGTTATTTTCAGAGCATGGTTTGTACAAAGAGAAATCCTTAACTTTGACTAAAACAAGCCGACCGGACCGTCTCCGTGACATTGCTGATCGTTTCAATCTTGACCATGATGCAGTACTGGACAACGTGCTGTACGCACGTGCATACACTAGTAAGACCATTCCTGCAACTGGCCTAAGACCTGTTTTTTCTTTAAGACTCCGTTTTAATAGTTCTCAGCTTATTAACTGAGGTTCCCCACTGAGAATCATAAAGAGTGTTTTGCTGCCAACAAAAGAAGTTGTAAACTTGCTTCCATTTTCTGTTTCTGGTGTTGTAAATTGGGGCCTACAAGGATGCTGGAGAGGGACTCTTCATCTGGGACTGCAGCAATAGGACAAGGGGTAATGGGTTTAAATTTAAACAGGGGAAGTTCAGGTTAGATAAGAGGAAGAAGTTCTTTACTGAGAGGGTGGTGAGGCACTGGAAGAGGTTGCCCAGAGAAGTGGTGAATGCTCCATCTCTGGCAGTGTTCAAGGCCAGGCTGGACAGAGCATTGGGTGACCTGGTCTAGTGTGGTCTGTGGTGAGTTGCCCCTGCCTGTGGCAGGGGGTTGGAACAAGATGATCTTAAGGTTCTTTCCAACCCAAACCATTCTATGATTCTATGATTATAATCCATCTCAGCAGCACTACATAAAGTTTTGGAGTTTGCCACAACATGGAGTGAACTCTGCTGTGTGCATGATGAGTGGCAGCGTAGGATCTTAGTAAGAGAAGCACCACCCAGTGCAACCATGATTGCCTGGATGCAAGCTAATTCTGTAAACGCTGTCGAGAAATTTTCTATGATCTTGTGAATGGGACTTTACAGTAACAGCTCCAGCACACTCTGTCACAAGATACTGCCCTAAAACTTCAAGGAAGTTTTAAATGGGACTCTTACTTTGAGATACAATATGAATATGAATAATATGATTAATACTATTTCTGTGTGTCATTGAACTCAACATTGGATTCAAATGTTTCTATCGCTTTTCTGTTCTTAACACAACAAAAATACGATGTCTTCATGCAGAGTTTTGTTGTGAAGCTTTTCACAAAGAAGTTTTGTGAGATGGGCCAGGGGAAACTGGAACCTGCAGAAGCACAAGCACTGTTGGGTATTGTAGAGGCAGCTTGGTTTTGGGCACTGGATTTAAAACTGTTGGCAGTGAAAATACAAACAGTGCAGACATTTAAAGTGGAATTTTAAAATTCAGGCTTTTGTTTCATAAGAGCTCTTTTGGCCCTAATTTCACTTGGCAACTGTACTTCCCACCAGGTGAACATCAGATGGAATTGCTTGACTACGTAGCAGCCAAGTTCCATGAGGAAGCTGGTATTTTCAAGCTATTGGTACAAGACTAATTTATTATCATTACTACTGCTTTTAGCATAGCTTCTCTTATTTTCTTGCACTGTATTTACTTACAGAGTATAATTACAATGCAGATCATTGACTCCATAATGGCGCTTTTCCGTGTGGATTTCAGTGGTCGTGGGGAGCTGGCTGAACGACAACAGAAACTCGCTCAGATGCTGTCAAGGCTCCAAAAAATATCAGAAGGTGAGGGAAACGTGACAAAATTCAGAAAACAGGGACTGGAGTTACTACAACAGTAGCTGTTGGTAGCACAACCACCTCATAGTCCAAGTGTATTATCAATCAGGCATTGGCTCAGGAACATTTATTCACTTTACACCTCTGTTAGTTACCAAAAAGATCAAACTGATAACATATTATTTCAAGATAACGGACCAAGGAATCTTTAGAACTATTCAACATTTAGAGTTTTCCTATAAATACTCTTAAGACAGATCTAAATGAGAGAACAGGTTGTAGAACTGGACAAATATCCACCAGGAGAAACTCTGTTCCCCAAATCTTGACAGTCTAAGTATACAATCAACATGAGGAATACAAAAAAGGATGAAGGCTCAGAGACGTAAAAAGCTGCACCCATCGCCACCTTCCCAGTACTTTGCAATGCTCTGAGGGATGATGACAGGATGAATAGCGTTCCTCCTCTTTAAAATGTCTCAGAAATGTTGAAGAGGAATGAGTAAATGACTTTTTTTCATGCAGTAAATTTAAAAAAGAAAGCAAACCAACAGGGAGGGAGAGGAGGCTGAGGGCAGGAAGCCAGCAAAGAAGATGGGAACTGAGAAAGACTTGTTCAGTGCAACTCTGAAAAGTGCTCATTTTTGGCATAAATATTACAGCTGACATCACACAGCAGCAAATTTAGGCTGTCTTCCGATTAACTCCAACCATCAGACATAAAGAATATTTGCTTCTCTTGCACTTGAAATTTGTGCTTCAGCAGCAGCCTGGCTTTTTCCATGGGTGGAAGAATATTTTGGAATTAGGATTGGATTTGGTCTACCTTCTTTGTGTTGTTTTCTATTGCAGAATATAATGTAGCCGTGTTTGTGACCAACCAGATGACTGCTGATCCAGGAGCGACGATGACGTAAGATACTTCTCTCTCTTTACCAAAACTTCCTGTCTTCTGTATTGCATATTTAACAGAAATGAGAGCTGATATTGTGTGGAGTAAGAGGCACCAAAATGAAGGTTCAGACTGGTCACTGGTCCCTCTAATAGGACGAATCACTCATGGATGACACCTATAGGTTTCTCTCGGTTTTTGTTACGAGATTTTTTATGTTTACCTGCTGACTGGCACGATGGCTTCTTTCACTGTGACTTGAACAAAGAGAACAAGCCATATAAAGTACTGGAAAGGCACCTCATTTTCTTTTGGAGCAATTATATATGAAGTTTAAGGTGTGTATTTCTTGAGCCTCTTGAATTTAATGACAGGAAAATTACACCAGCATTGAACATTTCAACATCAATCTTGAGGCAAGTGTGTTAAAGTCCTTTTTTGATATATTTACGGATTTATTATTTGTTACTGAGTTCAACATACCTCGTCTGACAGTTCATCACACTATTAACCTATGGAACTTGCACAATTTTCTTGCTAATTTAGCTTTCAGGCAGACCCAAAAAAGCCCATTGGGGGCCACATCCTTGCTCATGCTTCGACTACCAGGATTAGCTTGAGGAAAGGAAGAGGAGAACTGCGTATTGCAAAGATATATGACAGGTAAATCACCGCCTCTTCACAAGAACGAAGCAGTGTTATGAGTAACTGCAAGGTGACAAAGTTCATGGTACTGAAACTTAATGGTTTGTCAGCAAGTCATGGTTTCAAACTAACCACGTTTCTGGATGGTAAATGGACAGAAAAATCTGAAAGGACAAAGTAATTAACAGACTTACAGTTGTCTTGTGTATTGTATACATTAAACTATATAATTTTTCATCATAAGTCCTACAAGATGCTCATCTCTTAAAGAAGACCATCAAATAGTTTGGCAATTCTGGTGGTCCCTTGGCAGGAAAATTTCAGAGCTGTTAAGTTACTAAGTTTTGCTGACTCCATTAGTATCACTTTACCTGGTAAGCTGTGGCAGACATGTCACTAAAAATCATACCAGAACTACATGGACAGACAACTGTTTCTGGTCAGGAACTAAGAAATTGAAATAATAGTTTTGCACAGAGAAAACCTTTCCTTTTCCTGCACCTTCTCCATTCCCCTCCCTTGTGTTGGATTTCACATTTTCTGATCTTGGTAATATTGATCATGTTATACAGCTTGCACGTAGGCATAAAGACATTGTATGTGTAACCAACCTGGAATACTTGAACATTCTGGGGACCATTCACAACTGCATTTAGCATGCGGGAACCCACACGTTTCTTGTTTCCTTTTTTCCCAGCCCTGAGATGCCTGAAAACGAAGCCACGTTTGCAATAACTGCTGGAGGGATTGGGGATGCCAAAGAATAGGCAGAAAAAAAATGATGTAAATGTACAGCTGAAAACCACATGGGCAGCTGGGATGAAGATCTGTGTGAGGGCACTGACTGCCTGGCTGCATTTCTATCTTTTGGGAACCATTTGAGGTCTTTAGGGAGAACATTGGGATGAATTCTGTACAGTTCAATTTTATTGATCCTAGTAAGATTTGGTTCAGTTAGGGTCTTCATTTTACAACTGAACTCAGCAGACAAAGACTTAAGAAATAAGCTTGTGAATTGTTCAAAGAAGCCTTTTCTTATATTTTGTGAGAATCAAAGCTGTCCTTTCATATGAAATTAAAATACACACTTTTAGTTTCTTTCAAAGAGAGTGGCTATTTGGTAGAATGTAATAGTGTGAAACGGAACAGAATTGGAATAAACTCAGTTATAAAATTGACATAAATAGATGAAAAAAGCAGTGACAGGAGCAACAGCCCAAGAACTTGGTGGACTCTCATGTACTGTACAAGAACAAGTTGCTTCAAAAATATGTTTTCAAGCATTTTTATCTTGACTATATAGGGTTTGTATTTTTATTTAGCATTTTCTACTTTTTGGACAGAATGTTTTCAAACTGTTCTCCTTAAAATTAAAAAAAAAAGATTACGAGCCACACTCTGCTTATGTTTGGGTGCTTTGAATCAAACCCTGCTCTCAATAATCTCACTGATCTTTCACAGTGCAATCCCACATTTTAACACCTTTTGTCCAGTTTTCTAAAAAAAACGAACCTTTATAGAATTTGCTTTGTCAGTCTAATATAAGTAATATTAATGATTATTAAGTAATATTAAGTATTATTATCAAAAACCAGATGAAAGCAAAACCAGTGGCTAGATAGGGAAGAGAGGCTGACACCAGCACTTACACTGAGGGAAAGGCACTTATGACTGGGCTTGCTGAGGGAGCACACGGCCAGTGCAGGCACAGCTCCAAACTCGCCAGAGGTTTATATCGTGGAGAGGCAAAAGAAGCGAAGAATCCAGCAGTAAAGGGAGAAATGGGGGGATTCAGGGATAAAATACCCATCCAGTTTGCATTGCCTCCAATGCCCATGGAACCACTTGTTTTAAAATAAACATATATCAGATGCTCGAAGTGAAGGCCTTACATTGTCCTCTTGAATAGAAGTGCTAATTAGAATGGGTGTAACTCCAGTGTCTGGTTAGAAAGCTTGTCCTTACCAATACAAAAAACTTTCCATTTAGATTAGCTAATGCATGTGAGAGAACATGAAGTAAAAAGGCAGTGATGACCATAAATTCATCCAAAAGCATGCCACTGCAGCCAAGGGTTTACCTTGTGACAGAGCTAGAGAGTGTGCCTTCCTCAAGTGGCTTCCTAACAGATCTCTGGGATTTTTCCTGAGGTAAAGCACTGTTTTTAACAGTGGAGAGGGGTCTAGAGAAACAGAGGCAGGGAGGTCAGCTGAACTGAGCGAGCCAGGAAGGAATCAGCTATTGTAGTTTAACAAAATGTCCAGTTCTCTATGTGCCAGTCTTTCCCACACCAGGCATTTGAATGGAACGGCCAAGTACCAAGTGTTGGTGAGAGCATATGACTCCGCCCACCCACTTAGAAAGGCCCAAGTTTCTTCCAACATTTTATTTCAAGCACCAAGATTACTTTTTGCTTTCCTGCATATGCCATTCGTACACGCACACAGTAAGTACAACTAGAACAGTAAACAGCTTGTGTTCTCATTCCAGACCAAGTTGTTTCAACGGTGCGAGAGTGAAGGGGACACACTTTCCCTTCTGCCAACCTGCCGGATTGGTGACACTGTGACAGCCCAGAAAGCCCTGCCGATGGTGCGGAAGCAGTCTGGGCCTAGGCTTAGTTAAGCTGGTGGACACAGATCCCCCACCAGAAATGTCTTCTTGTGCCAGGACAGACCTGATGGCTGCTTGTCGGTAGGCGCCGAAAGCCTGAGCATAGCACAAACGACTGTCGTGGTTCAAGCCCAGCCGGCAACTTGGAACCACGCAGCCGCTCGCTCACTCCCCCCCTTTTCCTTCCTCCCCCCGCTCCCGGAGGGATGGGGAGGAGAATCGAAGGAATGTAACTCCCACGAGTTGAGATAACAGCTCTCCAGTAACTAAGGTATAATACAAACCACTACTGCTACCAATAATAATGATAAGAGGAATAACAAGGGAAAAGGACACAACCGCTCACCACCCACCGACCGATACCCAGCCCGACCCGAGCAGCGATCTGGGCCTTCCGGGTAACTCCCCCCAGTTTATATACTGGGCATGATGTGCTGTGGTATGGAATACCCCTTTGGCCAGTTTGGGTCAGGTGTCCTGTCTCTGCTTCCTCCTGGCTTCCCCTCCTCTCTGGCAAAGCATGAGACTGAGAAAGTCCTTGGTCAGAGTAAACATCACTGAGCAACAACTAAAAACATCGGTGTTATCAGCATTGTTCCCAGACTGAAAGTCAAAAACACAGCACTGCACCAGCTACTAAGAAGGAGAAAAAATGACTGCTGTAGCTGAACCCAGGACAACGATCTTATAGCCTATGCCATTCCGTAGCATGGCATTTTATCTAGGAGTGTCTGGTTGATGTGGGGAGTCAGATGCTACCAGGCCATGAAGACAGCATCAATGCATGCCTGGTGTCCTTCAAGTACTCTAAATAATTTCTTCGGTTGCTTGCAATTAACACCACAGTGGGCAAAGAGGGGAATTCATTTACGTTCTAGAGAGGCTGCTGTGAACCTCCTGCAGTTCCACAGGGGGTCCATGACCGAAGGCTTCTGGCATGACCCATGTTGGGGCCCGTCATGTCATTTCCTCCCTGCCTCTGGGCACTTGGGTGAAAGCAGACACCACGGCTGCTGTCTCCCTCGCTCCTACCCCAGATACCCCTCGTACTCTGCCAGGGATAAAAACGGTG